GGTTCAGGGTATCTCCTAGTCGAGCAGTCTCGATTAGAGTCTTCTTACTTGTTTATTAATTATTTAATTTAGATAATCCCAAAACAAAAGTGAAAGCATTGTTGAATTTTAATTTATATATTATTTGACAGCCTTACCCATAGAGCTCACACCTTTATCATTTCTGACAATAAAACCAATGTAACGAATTAATCGCAAGCATAGAGAAAGGCAATTTGTTAAGTGAAATATGTTGTAGCTCCGAACCAAAAATGAATGCTAATTTATCTTTATAATTTTTTTAGGAATAGTGAAGCAAAAGTTCTTAATGGCAGATAAGAATTTATTTGTTAGCATCCCAAAGCTATGGGAATATAGTCATGAAAGTAATTTAACACTTACCACATTATAGCGTTTCATCTGGTAGCCAAAATATAGGGGCATGGCGGGATCATAGACGCTGAGCATGCGACGCATGTTTTCCATAATAATGTATCTATAAAGAAACACAACCAAATAAACAATAAAAACTTTTTCCATGTTTCTATAGGACTTTAACCAAAATAATTTAAGCTTTAACTCAACATTAGCTTTAAAACCCCTAAGAGACTAAATTGACAATGAGATTAAAAGCTACAATAATAGAATACAGTGTCTATAATAAATTTTATAAATATTTATGTTTGGGAAGATAAAAGATAAAACAATAGAAATAAATTAGCATTTAAACGAGCTCAAAAAAACTATTAACAAAAACTTGGTCCTCAAATGTTTTCCTAGAAATTACGACAAAATATAGAAATAGAAAAATATCTAGATTATCGAATATCCATATGTACTTCAGATTATGGCATGAAAACTTTGGTAACAAAGAAAAACCTGTTTTATTTAATAATATAATATTCGAATAATTTGTTAAAAATATTTCGATTGGTTTTAGGCTGAAAAAAACATGTAATTAATTAATATTTATTAATTTATCAATAACAAATTTATTTTTAATTATATTATTATAAGTATTGTTTTTTTTTTTTTATAACATCCTAAAAACATGTCTTTGACTTGTCAATTATAACTTATAAACACACATCACTTCCTGTCAAACTGTAATGTTATTAAAATACAGTTATTAGTTATGCAAATAAATTTTATAAATTCATGAATTATTTATATTGAAAATTCCTCTAAAGCTATGAAGTATAGATAATGGGCGTAGCACAACTTTTTTGAATACAATTGATTCTACATATACATATGTATATATTTTTCACTCACTCACTTTCGCTTTTAATATTTCACTCATTCACTTTCGTCTTCATTCAACAATTACGTGCCTGCCAACAAAAATGTTGACACGCGCACATCGCTAGCTGTACTCACGTGTCGTCGTCGGCCTTGACAAACCAATCGTATTGATCGCCATATTCCTGCCACACATATCGAAATCCCTCTCGTGTCTTATTCCACAAATCCTTGTAGCTGCCGGCATCTGGTTCGACCACCTTAACGACTCCCAGCGGCTCATAGTTCTCACTGCTGGCAAAAATTAACTTGTTGCAGCGCTGACCCCAGGTGGCGTGCACATGCTGGGCATTGAGCTCCAGATTTTCTGGGCAGGTGAGCACCATGCAGAGCACACGAATGTCAGCCGCCAGATCTCGCTGAATTCTGTGGGCTGCAGCAGAGGAGGCGTAGTCGCTCCTACTGCTGATATCAATGTGCACATCGTCAATGTTGAGAATCAGCATAAAAGCGCAAACGAATCCCGTTATGAAGCCGGTAACCAGATACAGCTGTCTCGACTTAAACTTAACCATTGTTTCGTCCGCTTTATGTTCTGCCCAACGCGACGTCTAAACTGCGATTGTAGCAGCAAAAAAAAAATCACATTAATATAGTAAACAAATGTGAATAAACGACCGGTTTGATGTTTCTCACGGCTCGCACTAATATTGCCGCGGCGTCAGTGTGACCATATATGCATATTATTCAAATTGCCCTTTCGTTTGCATGATGGATGTGCTAGACAGCCGATTTGATCTTTAGTATTAAAGATAAGTGGCAACGCCAGCGAACTGTTCAATGCTTGGTTCATTTTGAACTTTTTAGCCGTGCTGCTCATACTCGACACTGGCTCGTGCATAGGGCACGCTATTTAGTTATATATTGTATTTATAAATAAAACAGTTTGCCTATGATCATTTTATTAAACCCTGCTCCGCAAATGAAATAGTCACTAAATAAAAATAGTAAATAGTTAAAATTTAATTTTTTTTATAAAATTGTATTATTTATTTACCACATTTAAATAATAAATATTTATTTTAATATTACTAAGAAACGAATTTAATTTATACAACTTTTGGTATTCCTTAACAAAATATTCATCAGCTGCTGAATTCGTTTTTGTCAGCTCAGCTCAACTAAATAAATTAAATATTAATTTTTATAGCTTTTACAATTATTTTCTCAAGTTGCATCGCCAGCCATAAGGTTATTTTGTCAATTCCAAAAGGCGAATTTAAATAAATTAAAGCTCAATATATTTGTTTCCCCCAGCTAATTGGATGTCGCGCAGTTCTGTCTTCATTTATTGCCATTTCACACAATTTTTAAACGCTTACGCAGCACAAAAAATAAAAAAATAAAAAAAAATAAAAAAAAAAAATGCGTAGACAGAAAAGCCGAAAAAAAAAAATCGAAAGTACATCTAATCACCTCATTGATGGGCATGATATTGTATAACGGTAAGTGATGATATATATGAAGTAATATGTCGAGCAATGAGGTATAAATACCTAGAGCTACGTCAATTCAAAGTGTAGTTAGCTGACAATTTGTGAGTACAGACAAACGGAAGAGCGCCATAAAAAAATAAATAAAATTAAAATGGATCTTAAGGTTAGTTTTGAGCTTGCAGTAAAGTTCGATCAGTTTTTTAAACGAATTCCTTGCAGTTGCTGCTGCTTGCCTTGGCGCTAATTGGAATTGCTCAAGCGGAGTTTGCCTACAACAATAACAACAACAATATTAATAATAATAATGATAATGATAATAATTATAATAATAATGGAAAACTAAATATCAATGATATCAACTCATTGGAGCAGTCTGCGTCCAACTCTGTCGAGGATTACCAAACCGATTACCAGGCAACACGCACGACTGCCGAAAATTCGCAGGCCACGCCCGCTGGCTACGATTATAATGCCCAGCAGGTGAATGGAAATGGTGCCGTCGCACAAGGAGCAAGTGTATCCGCGCCGCTATTCCCCCAGCCGTTGCCCGTGCTGCACGAGGCGAGACAGCCGGAAATCTTTCCGCCCGCCAGCTACAGCTATGACTACGCCGTCAATGATCAGAGCACGGGCGACATTAAGGATCATCGGGAGACACGCGATGGTTATTCGGTACGCGGCTCGTATAGCCTCATCGATCCCGATGGGTACAAGAGAACCGTCACCTATACGGCGGACGATGTGCACGGCTTCAATGCTGTTGTCAGCCGGGTGCCCTATGTGCTGAAGAAACTGGCTATAGCTTCGTCCAATGTGCAGCTCGACGGTCGTTCAGCCGTTGCCCAGGTTTCAGTGGACGCAGCGGCTATCAAGTCCCTGGATAATTCGCTGAAAGCCATCTCAGCCGATAGTTATGTGAATGCGGCGAATAATCGTGACACGAATGCTGGCATCTATTCCTAGTTGGAAGTTGTTCGAGGTCGACAAATTATAATTTATATAATATTATTACTATCTATTAAATTTGAGAGAAAAATAAATAATTTCTTAATGTAATATAATTGAAACTTCTTATTTCAACTATATAATTTTGTAATTATAATTAAATTCTTAAAATGGAAATACAAAATTGTGTTATTTTGAATAAAAAGAAACAAGTTTTTTCAAAATTATATGCAGTTTAAAAGTTTTGCGTTTGAAATGAATTTTATTTTTTAATTATTTTTTAATAGTATAATTTTAGGCGAGTGATAATAATCTTTATAAAACCCTGATAATATTTTTTTCCGCTGGGAATAATTTTTCATATTAGGTTATATATTTTTATTCTATATTCCATAATATGGAATATGGAATAAACAAAAATTTCTTAGATTTACTTATATTCTGATAAAATATATAGTCTAACGTATAAATGAGATGACGAAACTTAAATGTAAACCAGGCATTGGACTTTGAGCAGTTCAGTGGAATGTCAGTAAGTAAACACCAATAAGAAATATGAAACACTTAAATGTAGCATTTAGACCTGTTTGTCAGGTGCTAACGAGAACAAGAAATAACTTAAAGATTGGAATTAGATAAGACTTATCGATAACCTTTTAAAGTGGATTCTTCATAATGAACAAATTGCTGAATAGATTACTATTTAATCTAATAATTAAAATGCTATATTTCTGCTTTTGATTTTCTCATATATATATATTAATTAAAAGTGAAACCTATTTATAATACAATTACCTAATAAAATAGTTGCGTTGAATATTAATTTAAATGTAATTTAGTATATTATTTTATTAAATTTGGGGTACGTATAATTCAAATCTTATTTTAATATAAATTTAATTTTAATTTAATTTAATAATTTTAAACTTGTATTTCTGTAACGGATTTCGACTATTTCGGCTATTTGTAGCTCTAAGTTCCACTGTGCGTATGAGCCATGACTAACTCTTACTCCCACTCAGAGTGTCATCACTTGCATAGCTGCACATCACTAAACTTTAACATTATGGTCACACTGGTTCGCAAGTCAAGTGTCGTTTGGATCGTAGCGCGCACGTACGAAAAAAACAAAAACAAAAACACACAAAGAAACAGAAACTTCAACAGAGAGAGAGAGAGAAAACAAAACACCTCGCAAGTCTGTCAACGATCGTCAAGGCGTTAAGTCGACTTCGCGCTGTGCCGTGCTGTTTATATTTGTTAGCGACATTTATGTTGTTTGTATATCTGTTTGTATTATACACATACAAGCATATATTCTTAACGTGTGTGTGTGTGCGTTTGATGCGGCGACTCTTTACGAGTAAATAAACAAAACGAAACGGTACGAGCGTCGCATAATTGAACGCGTACACTCCCCCACCCCCTCGCTCAATCGATCCCTCGCTCTTCCTCTCCCGCTCGCACGCACGTACGCTGCTCTGCGGCAGAGGAGTCAGCGATTTGTGACGGTGGCCTACAGCTAAAACGAATGAAAAATCAGAAGAAGAAGAAGAAGAAGAAGAATGAGACGCAAACCGGCAAACAGCTAGCTAAAGTTTAACAATTTAGCAATTGCAAATCGAATTGAGCCAACGAAAGAAAACAAAAACAAATAAATAAAGAGGTGCAACAGGCAGCGTGTGTGGAGCGGACCTGGCCTGAAGGTCAACCGCATCTTTCAAGTTTTTTTTAAATTTTTTTTTTGTTGTTTTAAGTTTTTTGTTTATTAAAGTTCGAATTTTGGCTTTTGCCTTTGCCGGCTGCTGCGTCAGTGCACAAGAATGTGTTAATTTGGTATTTCAACAATCACAACAACAACAACAATAATATAAGCCGCAACAACAACGTCGCGATAAGCATAAACATTGTTGTATTTGCATAAAAAGCTTAACAAAACAGTAGAGAGAAATAAAAAAGACAGATCTAGGCCGAACGCGCAATACACTTTGTCAGTGTTGCAAAGAGCTTTAAGAGTGTGGAGC